AAGTTCCTGTGACCGAACTATATAGTTATTGTTCATTTGTATACAATCCCATAAAAGGCTTAATCTTACATTTTTTGGTGTGGATTGGTTTGAGAGACATCATCAGCAGTACAGATGGAGATGAAGAGAAGTCTTGTTTATCATCAATGTTAAAACCAACTCTAAATCTATATCTCTTTTTACTGGTAGTTCAAACTATGAACTAGTTTGGAATTAAAAGATGACAGGACACATGTAACCTAGCCATTTGCCTCCTGGTGGCTCAACAATAAATCTAAAGACTCGTAATGCTAAAAATCAGGTTTTTTACCTGTGGGGAGCACAGCACAGGTAGTTTATTGTATAGCTCTGTGCTTAACAACAAACAGATCTGGCTAGTAGGATTAGATAAGATCCTACTTAAGATAGAATAAGATGTACAGGTTTGGTAGGCTAAGTTATAAATTATTTTTTTTATATTATAATACTGAAATGCTAACTTAGTTTACATGAATTGAGCATTATCATTAGTTGAATATGGTTGCATATGTAGGGGTCAAAGTGAGTATGTCATGACTTTTTACCAAGTTACATTCAAAGTTAAATTAAACTACTTCCTTATTAATGTATATCAATATATTTGGCATCAGAACTTACTTAAATCAAATTTTAATTTCTTAATCAAAAATAAGTATTTAAAAGAATTCTAAATCTTCCATTGTTTGTATCATGTGACACTTGTCTGCTTGTATCACGTGACACTTGTTTGCTTGTATCACGTGACACTTTTTTGCTTCAAATTGCCATTTTCAATTTTCTCACCACTTGTATATGATGTCCTGAGCTGAATGTAAGTTACACATTTATAGCATATATATTACTAAGGTATAGTCTAATTGTACAGCCTCCAATCTTCTTTGCTAACAGATATATAAACCAGAAAATCAAACCCACTTTCCACACCCTCTTATCACAAAATGTAAATAATTCTCTCTGATGTTTTTCTTGGATTATTTATAACCAATGGAAAGAGAATATCTTATTTTATTAATTTCCTTGTAAGATTAAGTCATTAAATTATTTGGCTTACAGTTACATTATTGCTATCGTCCAGGTAAATGAACTATTTTTAAGCATGTATACCTTAGTTAGAAAGTCAGATAAATTATAGGACATTATTCGATGACGAGGAACCCACTTTGAGACTAATAATGGCTGGAGACGGCTTGAATGGGTAATGAAGAAAAACTTTAATATAACAGTAAATTACCTGATGATGACAAAACCTTGTCGAAACGTTGTACATTTGCTATAATGTTAAAGTTTTTCTTCATTACCCATTCAAGCCGTCTCCAGCCATCATTAATTACTATGTCAACCTAGTAACTATGTCAACGCTTTAACCTAGGACAATTTTTCAATTATGTTACCCCTGAACGCTACGTTTCCTGGTGGGCCAGCGGTAAACCGGGGTTCGATTCCCCACAGTGGACATAGCACAGACAACCATTGTGTAGCTTTGCACTATGAAACCAACAAAACGAAACGCTACAATGCTTTATAATAGTGTATTCTTTCAAAGTTTTTGTTAATATATTTTTTCCCCACAGTGGACATAGCACAGACAACCTATTGTGTAGCTTTGCACTATGAAACCAACAAAACGAAACGCTACAATGCTTTATAATAGTGGATTCTTTCAAAGTTTTTGTTAATATATTTTTCCCCACAGTGGACATAGCACAGACAACCCATTGTGTAGCTTTGCACTATGAAACCAACAAAACGAAACGCTACAATGCTTTATAATAGTGTATTCTTTCAAAGTTTTTGTTAATATATTTTTCCCCACAGTGGACATAGCACAGACAACCCATTGTGTAGCTTTGCACTATGAAAC